GAACCATTGTGCAGATAACCGTAGAATTTCCTTTATGGAATTGTTTGCTACATTCGGAAGCGAATCGTTTTCCTCTATTTGTGAATAGAAGTAATTTAAGGTTTTGCTGCAATAAAAAAGCTTTAAGGTAGAATATTTTATTTTCCTAATATTATTGTCACAGTCACTTTTCATTTTCGAGAATATAAATAATCGAGGAAAGATTTAACTAAAAATTATTATATGAACCTAAAATAAAATTATTTTAATTACAAATAAATACCTAAGTACACTTGATTAATTTTTTTAGTGACTAAAATAAAAACTTACAATAGAGTACATTAATATCACAAAATAAAGCACTAAATGCAGACATTTTAAAAAAACTATCTGCATTGCTATTTAAAACCACTAAATTTTATTCAGTAAAATTCACCAGTCTTTTGACAATAAAACAAACCAGAAAGGTGTTGATCAATTTTTAATCGAATTAGCATTTCAGGGCGTTGTAAGCAGTATAAATTAGAGGTCAATCGTTGCTATACAACTACAAATTAGTATTTTGTTGAAAAAGGTATTTTTTCAAAAATATACTTGGAATGTATTTTCAGATATCTTAATGAGTTTAGCCAAAAATAAGGAACCTATAACTATTATTTAAATTAATGGTAGGCAAGACCGCACCTTCACAAAAAGATTAGTACAAAGTTTTGATATTTGAAAATACATAAACGTAAAGATCCGTCGATAACTTGAGGTCGAAATAATCACAATTCCTATATTGGTTACAGGAAAATAAAAAAAAACAGAAATAGAAAAAAAAATAATGTAATGTTAGGGGTATATGATTTAAGATCATCCTGTAAGACTTGTTCGTCCCATATACCCTTAACGTATGTATATTTTTTAAGTGAAACACCCTATACATTTAAAATGGATGATTGGATGTATTCTAAATTTGGTAATTCATGCATCTTACTGAATAAAGTAACTTTATAAAGGACGGGATATTTTTAATTATAATGAAAAATAAATTCAAAGATTGATATGAAAAAATGACATAAGGCGTACAATCAATAATATTAATTAGTACAATGTTTTCATAGAAAATATATAATTATAAAACAATTGAGATTCCTTATTTTCCCTGCAATTCATTTATGAAATATAATTTATGCACAAACATATAAGTCATAACTTTTTGCTTCCCAAGAAGAAAACTTTTCATCCTCTAAATGACACCAGCTGCTAGCAATCATCTACTGCGATTGGCATAGTAGGTGGTGAGAATGACATTTTTACTTTTCTATTTAAATATTTTGTAAAATATAACCAAAATGAGAATAAAAGCGCAATTGTTATTTTTTTAAGAAATGATTGTGAATAAAATAATTTACACAATGATTCATTCAGATCTCGAGATAAACACTTTCCACCTGTATCATTGCGTGATCCACAAAAAAATTCGAAAGTAGGCTATGACCGACAATTTCCACAAGTAATGTCCGTGCTAACCTGATAACTAAGCATGGCTCAAATAATTCTATCTGTGACATGCGTGATTTTTTCCATGGGCTACTTTAGAAACATTGTTTTGTGAACCACTCTATATTGTATTATTAAGCTTAACATAATGAAAGTGAAATTCACCAGTTTTAGCTAAATTAATTTACTTTGAATAAAATATTTTGAGTGGGAAGAAATTTTACGATCAAAAGAATTTATCATCGATAAGGATCTTTAAACGGATTCAATGCTTATCTTACTGGCACTAAATTATTTTTCAATGTACATTTAAAACTAACTTTATTTTATACTTTAAAATTACCCGCTTGAAGATCAAAAACACCTTAAAATAATTATATTTGATACAAGAAACACATTCCATCTTCCTATAGCCCGAATGACATTTTCGGAATAGTCCGAATAGCCCCGTTCATATACGAATAAGTTTCCGTAGTTTCCAAAAATAATAGACTAAGAGCCAGCGACCGCCAGACCTACGTTATACTTCAAGGCCGTTCTTAGGGGTGTGCAAGCTCAAAGGCGGCCAAACTTAAGGGCGACCGCAGGCCGTCGGCACAATTTACTTTGTTGTTTTTCTACGATTGTGTAATTAAGCACTTGAAAGCAGAAGATGTATCTAGAGTGAGCCTGAATAATATAGGTACCCTGCTTGGTAAGCAACAACAAGAACATAATTTAAATAAAACCTGAACATGGCAGATTTACTGCCTAAGAAATACTTATTTTATTATTCATCCAAATTACAATATTTCTCATTCAGTTTTAATAAGTTCAAGGGTTATAATTTAAATTAGTTTTTCCTACGACCACTTAGGAAAGTGACACACATCACACTATATAGTCCTATGGAAAGTGCCCTATATCAAACGCGTATGAATAAGAATTTACTTTCCACCCGTGTACGAATATGCTACTTTCCGCAGCAGCTGTCACAAAATGTCAAACGAATCATTTCTATTTTTATCTATGTAATGTCCATATTAATACTAAAATCGATATAATTGCTAAATTTTTGAGGCTAATGACCAAGATGTCGATGCCAAACAAAAAAAAAAAAAAAAAAAAAATTGCTAAATTATTGAAATTGTTGTAAATTAGATCCTAGATATGTATCTTTAACAATTATTATTAAAATAATTTTAAAATAACTAAGTTATGTTTGCTTTTTATTCTGGTTAAACACATAACCGATTAGATCATTCAATTGACGCCTATTAGCTCAGTTGATATAGTATCAAACTTTATCAACTTTGCCATTTGAGACCTGGCGAGCGACCGCGTTCAAATCCTTGCGGGTGCAGAATTTTTTTTTGTTTTTTAGTTATTTTTGTTTAGAAAATATGAAAATTGAATAAATACGATTATTATTGATTATTTTTTTAAATACGATTATAGTTGATTATTTTTTAAATACATTTTAATTATTATAATAACCTGGTTTTACATTTTTTGATGAAATTATTTTGTGCTCGTAGGAAAAATATTGTACATCACTTGTGTGAAAAGTGATTTTCCACACTCGTGTGGTAGTCGCACTCGGCTTGTGCCTCGTGCGACAATATTTCCCACGCGTGTGAAAAATGTCACTTTCCACACTCGTAATGTAATATACTATTTTGGCCCTCCTGTAAAATTTTCTTAAAGTTACGCACTTTGCGATTTGCACTGACGATATACGAGGGTGGTAAAAAAATATGAATTTAGCTAAAGTTAGTTAAAGTTACTATCGATAGTGAATTTGAAAATAAAACTATCGATCCTATTGATAGTGCTATCGATATTTGGCCACCTCTAATTCGGACTATTTCGAAAATGTCATTTGAATCATAGGAAGTTGGAATGCGTGTTTCTCGCATCGAATAGAATTATTTTTGAGTTTCAAGCGCATAACAAAATTTTAAAAATATGAATAACAAAAATAGTTTAATATTTACATCGAAAAATGTATTACTGGTGAGACAAATGTTGATTCAGACTCCGTTTAAAGATTCTAATCGATGGGACATAAAAAATATCGTAAAAAACAAGAAAGGGGAAAATATCTTTTTCTAGTGAGAAATCATTGTTCTTATTGCAATGGTTTTGATAAAAAAAAAATAATAAGCGATCTAACAATTTGATTATTACTAGAGTTTTCATTGCATGCTACTTTCAAAGGACTCTTAAATTCAACAACTGTACTTTAAACTGTAAACGTCTATTGGATTCAGCTCAACTATCAGCGTTCACTAATTTTTGTTTGGACCTTATTCCGAATAAGGTTACCGTATTCGTAAAGTAACAAGTGGCGATATTCTTATTAAAATATGAACAGCTGTCAAAATAAGGTAACAGTATTTGATCGAGACTTATGTGATAACTCTCTATTAGCATTGCGTTCGATCTGCCAAGCTCTTTTAATACTTTTAACTACAAACGACCCTTTTAGCGTTCGGTTTAATCTGATTAGTGACAGCTTAACACGCTTAAATGTTATTTAAGAGCACCCTAAAAAAACTCCGCTCCTGTCCCGTTCCAGCCCCTGGCCAAACCGAACGCTACTTAGGCATTCCAACTACCTGTCAAAATTAGTGCCTGTGGGCTTTGACAGGGTCAATGACACTATAGTTATATAGATTGCTCAAAGCGAGGAGCATTGAATGAACTGGAGTGGGATAGAATACTTGTCAATAGGCTTGAGATGCGACTCTATGGGCGCATCCATATTATTTTTCATCTCACTCGGGAGTATTTATAATACCATTTTCTATTTCACATTGTTATTATCTGCACATATCATGCACATTGGCATTCTACCCCAATACAGTTCATTGATTGCGAGCGGCTATATTGCCTCGAAAGTGATCATTAATCAGAATCGGTTTAGCAAAAATTTGTTTTAAAACCAATTTTCAGCCTTTGAATATAGTAAAAAAATAATTATCTACATTTTTATTTCAAGGCATGGTTGTTTATTTTAAAAAACAGATGATCAATTTATATATCTATCTATATCACTAACCCTGTCAAATCCATCCAGACCCACAGGTTTGCCACAACAATGCCCGCAGGTAACCATTTTGTTTGCAATGCCTAATGCTCATGCTATTAAAAGTAATCTGGCAACGTGACATTTTGTGCTGGGCTACTGACGAAGAAAAAGTTTCTCAGTGTCAGTTTTAACATACAGAGTGAAGGAAGAATTATTTCCATGGTCAACCCCGATTTAAAAAGAAAGTGACTGGCATATAACATGTGATTGACAATAAATCATTAAAAAAAAAAGAATTGTACGCTCTTCCCATTGCCTATTTTAGAAACATTTTTTGTGGATCACCTCATACTTCGTATTCAATAATTCTAATCCATGCGTGTCTATAATGGATGCTGGATTGTCTGTTTTCAATAATCAAATAATCTTATATAACTTATTTTTGACTAAATTTGTATTTCTTATTAGCTTGGGTTTCACTTTACATTATGTCAAGTTTCTGGCCTATAAATACAATATTAGAACTTTATATTATCATTTGAATAAATAAAACTATACCTTGTTTGTTTTAAACGTACAAATAATAAATCAAAGGTTTTGTTTATAACAGTACCTATCATTAAACGAAGAGGACGTGCGGATAGAATATTTTGGAAGAAACAAGCAGTTTTCAGTTCCATTTAATCTAATAAGCTCTTGAGATGGATAGATTACATTCCCTCTACTGGATATATTTACATAGGAAAACCAATCTAAAATGAATTCAAACATTTCTAATGATATGTTCCTTTCATTCAGAATTAATTGTAAATAGTATAGTTTACTTGATTATTTTTTATATTAAACATAAGAGTGGTCCAGTTCATATAACAAGGATTAGACCAGCAGATAGCTTAGCGAAAAATAAAGGTAGTTCGTCCGATAAAACATGGTTATTAACATCTAAAAAAGGCTTTGACCGATTTTAATGAAAGTGTCACAGTTTGTTGATATGTTACAGTTGATTCAGTATTTCCAGAGGTGTGCTCACAGGATACTTCAATTAGTTTTCAGCACAAAAAAATACCGCCCAGCACATTTTTGAAATTTTCACGATTTTTAAAATAACTAAAAATTCAAGTTTATTTTGTTTCTTATTTTTTTTTTTCGACATCTTACTTTGTTTTCGAGGAAAAAATTAAAACTATCAATTTTGCAATTGGCTAGGTGGCCCAAGTTATATTTTTATTACAATAGAGATAATGACATGTTTAAGCTCAGCTAGTGTCAATGTATCAGTGCTAAAGAGATATATCTCGAGATATATGTTACGAGTACATTATCACTTTAACATAAGGAAAACCTCATTCTGCCACTCTAAGCTTTGATACAAATGTAAACATTTCTTGCTTTTTCTCAAAAATGTTATTTTGCTCTTTAGACCAGTTTAGCTCCCACCAATAAACTATCAGATGGTGAAATTCTGACGATATGAACAGGATCCACCTGTATAATAAATAAGTTTATATCTTACTTCTCCAATTAGTATAAAATGAAAATACTTTAAGTGCCATTTAAATAATATTGGTATATCTCAGAACTCATAACTATCAAAATCGAAGGTGGCAATTCTGTAACAATTGACAATACATACATTTTAGATTAGTTTTCCCAATAGGTAAAAATATAAAAGTTACTACCACAGATATTCTAGCTACGCTATGATTGTAAACAGTTTACTTTAAATACTTACATTTTATATACATGATAACGATAAAAATAGGAATAAACAATAAATTCATCAATTTCTTATTGCACAAAAGATATGAATTCGTAATCATTTTTAAACACAGCATTAAAATATTTAGCCAATTTTTCAATTAATTTTGCAGTCTTACTACAAAATCAATTATTATATTTTAACATACTAATTTGATAAAAACACTTTTTGAAATAAATATAATATAGTTAGGAACAGTTTAAACACTTTCAAGTGTGGCTTACATATATCCAACTCTAGAAGCAGGCGAGCAATTTTTGGTAAACAATTACCCATATTGTACATAAGGGTTTTCAGGTAGATTAAAAAAAAACGACCTGTGCACCTATATTTGGAATTTGCGTTTTTAGAAAATGGAAATTTAAGTACCTATTAATTAATTGAAAAACTGGCCATTTAATAATAACCTATTTTTCAACAATATAAATAAATAAAAGTTGATTTTTCACTGAATTTACAATATTTACATGAACCACTTCGGTGAGATTTGAAATTCTTTATCTTAATGCACGGGAGGAAAATTAACACTAAAATTTTAATTTCAAAACCCGATATTTTTGTTAATTTAAATTTATTAGCCAAAGGTAGTGTAGTGCCTCAGTTAGAATGTCACACACTTTTTAGCCAACCCTTCAATTCGTGGCAGTCCTAGTATGACAAAGGCTAAACAACTTCGGTTGCTAAGAATCGATTGATTATTGATCATCATTATGATTTTATTTTTTAATTTTTATACACGACATGTCATTTGTGCTACTAAATATACCTTATACATATCCAACGACAATTATTTAATATGATGGGATAAACAAATTTAAAGATCCCACAGGTAAGTTGTGTTAAATCTTAAAATTTTGATGTATGGGGTCCACACCAGGTGGTGATACCGAGACGTCGATTTGATAGCTGTCAAAATGCGTTACAATTAAATTTAATCTGTACATATCGAGTAAAATAATTATCAAATTGCAGGTTTTTTAATATAGAAGAGAAACGGAGTATTGAAACATTTCTTAATTGACAAATGAAAGAAATAGTAGTAGTGAGATGTTAAAAATTAAAACATACATATTTTTAACCCTATCTATCTGAATTAGGGCGTGGTTCGAAGCCCACTTTCACTGAAGCTCTAGGCTTATTGTACCTCTCACAGTTTCTATTCCATCAGATTGATTTTCTTGGTGAATTCAAGAATATGTCTGATGGGCGCTTTCGCGATTTCTTCAGGTTCCGGATATTGTACCCCGAAGTACCATTCCTGTTCCCATTTAAGGTTCCGACAGTGGCATAGTATGTGAATAGGAGTTTCGTCCTCCTCTTCACATATTCTACATAGGGAGTCATCAGATATCCCTAAGAGATTTAGGTGTCTTCTAAGGCCACAGTGTCCCGTAAGGAGTCATATTACGGCCTTGAGTAACGCTTCTGCTAAGGTTTAGCAGTTGATGTTGTCTGCTCGTGGATGGCCCCTCTATCAATCTTTTGGACTGTCTAAGTCCAGGAAGTTCCATCCAGCCTATGGTGTTCTCTATTTATTTGTTCCTTTAACACCCATTTAACATGTTGGTATGAGATACCACATGTGGGTTCTGGTCCAATAAGAGTTTTTTCCGCTCCCTTCCTTGCTAGAAGGTCTGCTTTCTCGTTTCCAAACACTCCCTCATGTCCTGGCACCCATTCAAGGGTGACCTTGTTATGTTCTGTCAGGGCTTGGAGGGGCTGTTGGCAATCAAATATTGATTTAGACTGTACTTCTACCCTTTTCAGTGCTTTAAGGGCTGCCTGACTGTCATGATAAAGATCCTCTTATCTCTAAGAGAGTCATTTAGCATGACTTTGGCGCAGGCATTTATTGCTGTCACTTCAACCTGGAAGACTGTTGTCAGTGACTCCAGGTTCAAACTAATTGTCCTCCCTGAGTTCACATGGTAGATCCCAGCTCCTGTGCTGTTTTTCATTTTCGAACCGTCTGTATACCAGATTGATTCGTTTTGTTTTTCCCTATTTTCCCGGGTTTTGGCCCTTTATAACCCTAAATAGAAATTGAATATACCTCGGTGCAAACACGAGCCCTTAGAAATAAAATATTATTTAAAACGTAATAACCAACTATGAGCAGAAGAACCGAAACGACACTTTTCACACAGCTGTCTTAATACGTTGAAGGACAGTACAAAATTAACCAGTGTCTCAAAAAAAAACGGATTGATATTTTGAAAACATATCGACAGATTTTTTGCTGGTTTTCCCTACTAATAGGACAGGACAGTGCTCCAAATTGCAAAGTGTTTCTGTAGGATAGCAGTTCTTAAAGAGACATCAAATTTAGATCCAAAATATAATTCCTATAGCAGAAGTGTAGTTTTAGAGACATTTTATTTTATTTCCATAGCAGTAGGTGCCCTAGGACGATAATTTTAATTCACTGGTATAATTCATTTCTATCAACGGGTTACATCACCTTTTATATCGGAAACGAAGCCCTAAAAGTTTGTCGGTATATTTTTTTTGTTACATTAATGTATACAATTTAATAACTTACAATGGTTAATATCTCATTAACTAAATATGATATTAAAAAAATGCTTAAAACCGTTTCTTGAATATGATAAATGACAAAATGCAGAACTCCCCATCAACTCCCTAAACGCTTCCAAACTCAATAAAAACAAAAATAGCAACTCCCTACTTGTCATACATCATTGGAAAGTTCGTAAAAATGCTTTTCAGGGCAGGTTATACAAAGAATGCTGTAAACTCAGTTTAACAATAACCAATGATTGTACAACTAGGTTTACAGTTTAAACTAAGATTACATGTTAACTGCCTATTACACAACCCGCCCTCAACGATGTAAGTTATATCTTATACAGGATGGTTCAATAGTACATAATAAAATCATATGGATAGGTAGCAGCTGTGCCTGTATGGAACCAGCTGTGTTAAATGGTAGCTCGAGATACCGGCCACCTTCCCGAGTAAGTAGGTTTGCCCGTCTAAGCCGGCGCTCTGGGCGGGTAGACTTATATTTCACAATTACTCAAGGGATCAATTAGTATGGACCTAAATACAAAAACTTTTTTACAAACTTCTTACTGAACAGTCAAATGTGTCAAGCAGCAGTCTTACAAGAGCAATCTCAGGCAAAGATAGCGAAACAGGTCACAGAGGTTCATCAAGTAGAAGTGTCAACAACATCCAAAAGGCCCAATGACAGACACAGAAATCAGATTATTTGTGATATTCGGTCGAACAACAGTAACTTGATAAAATCTAATTAAGATTTAATCACTGCCAACAGAGGCAGATCCCTAGCAAAGCCACCAAAAACTTTGACTACAATGGTCGATAAACAGACCAAAAAAGGCCAATATCAGAAGGCAACACTCCCTCTGCAGATTGAAGAGTGGGAAAGAAGGCCAAAACTGAAAGGCTAACCTTCAAAGGGGCTCTTATTACGTTAGACATCGCAGTGGCGAGAACCGGCTTTCCAGAGGCACTAATAGAAACGACGCAGCAAAAAGCGGCGAAGAATCCATTATAAGTGCCTACGAAAGTATCCCAATAAGGCCAAATGTGGGCTATCTCCGTGGATAACAACCGATTCTCGCTTGTTCTGGTCATATATTAATGCAAAAAAATGTATTCCGGGCACTATGTTGTTTGAAGATGAATCATTTGACAAAATTCAAGAAGTAGTAGATTATTTTAGTCAATTGATCGAAAGTATTTTTTAGAGCCAAAGCAGGATAGGGTTAGTTTATTTGAATCACAATTTTATGGTGACAACCATTAATATTGACAATATTAGTGAATCAGAGTCATACAAGCCAGTAAAAAATTAAGCAATAAAATGACCTCTGGCTCTGATGATATACCATCATTTTTGGATAAAGATTGTATTTATGTATTATCTTATCTATTAAACATAATATTTAATTTAGCACTAAATTCAGAAATATTCCCGAAGCAGTGGAAAGAGGCAAGAATTATTCCTGTTTTTAAATCAGGTGATAAGACGCAAATAAAAACTATCTATTCTGTCAAATTTCTCTAAAATCTTAGAGATTGTTATTTACAATCACATATATCCGTCTGTTCGCAACCTAATATCTCCTTCACAGCTGGTTTCTTAAACAAAAAGTCTACTGAAAGTAATTTATTTATAATAACTCAACACTTATCTGAAACGGCAGATGGGCAAGTGGACGTAATTTACACCGATTTTTCGAAGGCTTTTGACAGAATGGACCACGGGATATTGATTGATAAGTTGAACCAGTCAGGCCTTGTTGAGGTTCTGTAAATCATATCTTCTGGAAAGGCAGCAATTTGTTTTTCATAACAATTATTCTTCACAAGTGATTTCACAAAATCAAGTGTCCCTCAAGGTTCAAACCTTGGACCATTGCTGTTATTTATTAATGATCTCGTTCACCATTTAAATTCTTATGGACTTATTTATGCAAATGATTTTAAAATATATCTATTAGTATTAGACATGTATGACTGTTTAGCGCTTCAGCAGGACTTGGGCCCGTATTTATAAACAGAACTTGGGTAAGTCGTCCTTGAACTAAAATCGAAGTTCGGTTACAACGTTTCTAAAGTTCTAGGTAGTTCTGGTGTTAGATTGGAATTTAAAAATGGATATTAGCAAATTTGTAACTGTTATGTACATTTACGGATTTGTTACTACCCACCTCTAAATTCACGCTATATAACCGAACTTCGATTTTCGTTCAAGGACGACTTACCCAAGTCCGACTCAGCTGAGTTTTGTTTATAAAAACGGGCCCTAGATAGATCAGATTGGTGCATGCAAAATTGGTTAATGCTAAATGCATATAAGTGTAAAGTGATGGTATACACCAGAAAAAGATCTACTACAGATTGCTATTATAATATTACTGGTTTAGTTTTATCATGTTGTACCTCATCATTTTTGACTCGAAACTAATTTTTTTTTGAGCATATTAATATGAAGATTTCTGATGCAAACAAAATGTATGGTTTTGTTATACGAAACTGTCGTGGGTTCAGGAACATTAGAACATTAAATACATTATACTATTCGTACATTCGCATTAAGCTTGAGTGCTGTTCAACTATCTGGTATCCCTACTATAATATTCACATGGTTGGTGTAGAATCTGTTCAAAGGAAGTTTTTGAAATATTTAGCTTTCCAAGAAAATAGTGTCTACCCTCCAAGAGGAATCGATTATCAGCTATTTTTGGGTAGTTTTAACATGGATAGTCTTGAATTTCGGAGAATTTTAGCTCCTTTGACTTCTATATACAAAATCACGAATGAATTAATGAACTGTCATATTATTTTAGTTAAAATTAAATGTTCCCCGGTATAAAAACAGACATCATTTAACTTTTTATTGTAACAGAGCTAGAACAAATATTCTATTAAGTTCACCTCTCAAGCTCATGTGTAATAAAAACTTTGTATTGTAATTCATCTGATATCTTCACAGATAGTTTAGAAAGTATTAAAGCAGTTTGTTGTTTGTACCAAATATGACAATGCTTAAAAATTTCTCTTTTTTCATTATATTTTATATTTATTTAGTATTTACTGTTTTTTCATAATAGTCATTTGTCAGCTTTAATGTATTATTGATTTTTTGGGTTGCTCTGTAAAGGGATTTATATCTGTTGGACAATGAAGGCTATTATTATTATTATTATTATTATTATAAAGGGTCATATACCGAATTTCAGAAGTTGGATATGTCACCATATTTTGGGATGGGATCCATAAAGTTAGTCTCAAATAAACAGTTAAAAAGGGCAACAAGGCAAAACCCTTCCAAAA